TTACTATGACATGGGCACGTTGTTTCAGACCGTCCATTAGTGTTAGTAACTGAGAGACAATCCTTCTCTCTACTTCACCATGAGTCTGAGAGAGAGAGAGGGGGGGGAGGGGGGAGGGGGGAGAGAGAGAGAGAGAGAGAGGGAGAGAGAGAGAGGGGAGAGAGAGGGGGGAGGGAGAGAAAGCAGAGAATACGTGTACATGTTTCTTTTTATTTAATTGTTACTTTGTCTCTTTTTGGTGCTATGGCATCCAGTTCATCTATAAATATGATGGCAGGAGCGTTCTTTTCTGCTTCTTCAAATGCTGCAGAGAAATGAGAGAGAGAGAGAGAGAGTTCAATTATCAATCATGTTACAGATAATAGACACATTTCTATAGCCTCAAAAGTGTCAATCAAATAACAATAAGAATGAATGAACAACAGACAACCCAAATACATCATACATGTACTGTACTTTATCAATTACATTACACTCAATAGTCATGTACATTGTGTACATGTACATGTAGGCTGGTAGAAATCCATTCCTGATATTTCAAAAATCAGTACTGGAACCAAAAGTCCAGTCCTTTGCTATACCTCTCATTATTGACAGCCACTGAATGTTAGGGAATCAGTGACTGTGGTAAGGGAGAGGAAATCCCTCTAATCACCTAACTAATTAGGTGATGCAATCATTAACGTTTCTAATTAAAGCCCACATTAATTACTCTAATTAAAGCCCACCTTTTCTAAGGTTGCTCTCAGATTCTCCCGCCATTTTGCTCATGATTTCTGGTCCGTTGATTAAAAAGAAGAATGCTCCGGTCTCATTTGCTACAGCTCTAGCGATGAGTGTCTTACCAGTTCCAGGAGGACCATACAGTAATATACCACGAGGAGGCTTTACTCCAATTGCTTTGAATAGTTGGGGGTGACGTAGGGGTAGTTCCACCATCTTGAGGGTTAAAAATAGAGCATAATAATAATAATAATAATAATAATAATAGTATATAAGGTATTTTAATTATCCTAATCATAAAGATTATTTCTTTAAAAATAAAATAAAAATATTTTAAAATATACGTACAAAAAAACTAAATTTCATTAATAAAACAATTATAATCTTGTCATTATTCAAACAAAAAAATCACATCAGAATATCCAGATATTAAAAAACAGGTATCCATTCATTTCAACTCTAAACAGGAACAAATACGTGTACATACACTGTACATGCATTATCGTATAGAAGGAAATTTCAGATTTGGCAAATTTGACATTTTGATATCCATTCGCCAAAATAAAACCCAATCACCAAAATTTAAATCCCTCCAAAATTTCCTTCTATACGATACTTCTCCCTCCCTCCCTCTCTCTCTCTACCTCTTTTATTTGAGCCAGTTGTTTCCTACAGCCTCCAACATCATCATATCCAACTTCATTAAGAGACTCTTCCTCGTCCTCCCTCTTGATGGGTTCTCCTTCACAATGTATCACGGTATCAGGGGCAACGATACAATAAGGGGAGGGGTCTGTCTCTACTATCTTGAACTCCACCGCACGCATGCCACCACGAACAAGAAATATGTCACCTTTAATAAGAAAAACATGTACATGTATAATGTATTGTAGCTACATGTTTACATGTACACTGTACATGTAGCTGGAGTGTTAAGTACCTTTGTGTACTGGTCTGTAAGCTTCCAGGAAGTAGGGCTTTAAGAAGACATCAAAAATGTTACTAGAGAGAGAGAGAGGGGAGGGGAGAGAGAGCAAGTAAATTTTACACATGTACATGTAAATGTATAAATTATGTACATGAATGTTTCTTTCTTTAACTGATAAAGTGACACGTTATTAGTTATCTCTCTCTCTCTCTCCCTTACCCTGTGATTCCCTCCACTGTATCATCAATGGGTAGAACGTGGATCCTCTTTCCGTACTTGACGTCAGGAAACGCTTGAACGCTGCAAGAGAGGGGCATTAAATAGAACAACGATATTAGGCATTAATTAGAATATGACAGGTGTTGTTTATTTGTCAATGATATTGTAGGTTTTGTTAGATCGATATTTCACAGGATTAAAAAAACAAATAATTGATAATCAAAAATAACCACATTCATCTTCGATATGACTTAACACCATTTTCTATTCTTCTCCCTACATCCTTCTTTTCTTCTCCCTCCCTTCCTCCCCCCTCTCTCTCACACCTCTCTCTCTCCCTCCCTCTCTCTCTCCCTCTCTCACCTCACTACGTCGCTGCTTCTAACTCTCAAATTCTGTCGAACAACACGATTCATTCTAATCTTTTCATTAGAGATCGTATCATCAGAAAGAACTATACATACCTAATATAAAAATATTTAAAAACATCATTAATGTATTATCTGTTTAAATTCATAAATCGTATTTGTGGGTGTGTCTAAAAAACTACATTTACATGTATACTTTAATACCGTTTCCTTTCGCCTTTTTCCTTTCAATAAAACAGTATCTCCTCTAAATAACTGTAACTCATCCATTTTTTCCTACGTATGCAAGAAATTTTAAAAAATGCCAGGTTATTCTAATTAAAAGGTTGTTCTAATTAAAGAGCATCTCACCTGTGAAAGGGCAACCACGGAATTGTCATCGTTGACAGCATCTTCCACTATGAGCCTGTTGGGCTTTGACTTCTGCTTCAAAATGGCTGTTGCCTTTTCGTCTCTAGTGGGAATAGACAAGGGAGAGAAAGAGAGGGAAAATTTGAAAAATATTATGAAATTTTCTGTGACTGATCGAGGCTTACTGCGGATCTGGTGCTTTAATCTCGGCCATTAGAAATGCTCTGGAAATAATTTAAATACACAAAGAGGACTCCTTTTCTTTTATTAACAAATCAGATGGTGACACGTCAGGATTTTGCCCTTCCTCGTAATTTCGTTTCTGACTCTCTGCTTGCAAACTATAAATAGAACAATGCAATATGGGCACTGGCTTGACGTCATAGCTAATGAAGCTAAAAATAGATTCATTGCCATGGGCGTGGTCTTATTTTGAGCTCCGCCCATATCTGTCGTTTGCAGATTTTTTATTAACACAGAGAAATGCAATTTTCAGAGTGCCGGGAGCTTTCTGGCAGTGAGCCAATATAAAGGATGAATTTCCTGAGGAGAGTTGGCAGGTCTTCTCGCTCCCCCTCGCCATTAACGCGTGGGTCCGGAAACAATTCCCCAACAGACGATTGGAGCAACACTCGAAGCAACACAGGCAACAGGAGCAGCAGCAGCAGTAGTGGCACTGCAAATAGAAAGAAAGAAGGAAAGGAAGAAAGAAAGGAGCATAGTGAGGCCATTAATTAATTTTACAATACATTATACAATTTTTACAAATATTTTTTAATACGGTACATAGTACATACATGTAAATACTAATTTCTGAATATTTTAGGTATAGTTTCTAGTACTCTGTCATATTTTATACAGGTACTAGTGGTAGTAATATGATTGATGGGGTCGATGATAATCTTCAGTTAACGGAAGCAGGTTGTCTAGTACCTGACACGCCCCTGTCACCTTCTTCCCCTGTCCCTCCTCTCTCGATTAAGCCACACCCTCTATCATCATCTGTGTCTCCGCCCAATTCTCCCGGCTCTCCTACTGTAACGATAAGTGCTAGCGAGAAGCTGTGTAAGAAGCCACACCCACGATCGCTGGACATGAGGAAATTGAGTATACCAACTAGTGTATCACTGGATTGTATTAAACATAATGGAGGTGAGAGAGAGAGGGGGGAGAGAGAGAGAAATGATAGGTTGTGTGTGTGAGAGTGTTGGTATATTTACAGCCAAATCTGCTACTATGGACACTCTAAAATTAAGGACACCTCTGTAATCAGACCATGCCTAATACAACAGTAATGTGTATTAATGAACCTCTGAAATAAGGACGTGTACAAGTTGATAATCATGAGGGTATTATTAGGCCCCAAGGTGTCGTGAATAGACAGGTTTGGCCGTATTGTTTAAGTGTTTACATGTTTCACATTACCTGACACTTGATGACAGTGAGATAATAAACAATTTCATTTTTCTGATCCATGATGCTGCTTGAGGGATTTGTTCATGTACACATAGTCTGCATAGTGTACATGCATTTCAGTGTAGGTACATGTATATGTACATAGTTGAGTTGTTGTTATATAACTACATATATGGTACACGTGTGCATTTTATGTGTTTATGTTGTTGTGTGTGTGTTCATTTTGTTTGTCTTCTTCCTCCTCCTTACATACCTTATTTAATGAATGACACTTTTTCATTTTCTCTTTCTTTCATCCCCCGTCTCTCTCTCTCTCTCTCTCAGATTATGATTCTCCTGCTCATCATGTCCCTAGACCTAGTTCTCCATTGCTTAGTGCATTAAGAGAAGCAGTGGAGTCCGTCTCAAATATGGAGGATTTTGAACGAATTGAAAAGATAGGGTCAGGATTCTTTGCAGAAGTTTACAAAGTAAGTAAAATTATTTTGTTAACAATAATAACATCTTTATTTTGGACATGTATATTTACCATGTACAGTGTAGCCTCTTTATTAAGGACACCATTGGGCCCACACTACCTGTCCTTAATACATGTACAGTGTAGCCTCTTTATTAAGGACACCATTGGGCCCACACTACCTGTCCTTAATACAGAAGTGTCCTCATTTCAGAGGCACTTTTGTATAGGCTAATTATACCGATTGGGACGTTACAAAATATCCTCATTATAAAAGTGTCCTTGCTTTTGGGTGTCCTCATTATCGTAATAATAATAATAATAATAATGATGATGATAATAATAATAATGATAACAATGATGAATTTGGTAATAATAACAATGATATTCCTGAGATTACTAGAAAGGAATTGTGCCAACTTGTTCGTTGATGAAGTTATGATAATATTTATTTTATTAAATACTGTGTTATCATAATTCCCATGAATCATCAACCACTGAAGCTCGAAGCATCAAGATTAATTAATTAATCGACAATCGTTTCCCTTTTTATAGGTTCGGCACAAATTGACCGACGAGATTATGGTTTTAAAAGTGAATAAAGGGCTGACAGGAACAAAGACAAGACAAGAAGTTGAGTTACTAAAGAGACTCCATCATCCAAACATACTACAGTAAGTGATCATATTACACTATTAAACATTATACTGTAATGTACAGGCATATATTATAATTCAGTAAGGTGAAAATGTTATACTAATTTTTGTTTTTTTAATATGTACTTGCTTGACTATTTTTAGCATTTTGAAACTAGCGATGATATTAATAATAATAATTAATTGTATTATCTTGTATCTTAATTTCAGGTGCTTAGTGTATTAATAAAATTCATTTTTCAATACTTTGAAATTTGAGCTGTATCCTCTTAAATAGTGACACCTTTGATCAAGTTTCATATTGTTTTCTGTTAGCAAGTATTAAAATTACATAAACTTATTGAGATCTGATTAATCTATGAGGGGGTGTGTGGGGTCTTAAATAGTTCAAATTTTATTCACTTTAGTACCAAAACGTGTTAAACCTTATTAATTTTTTTATTGAGCAATAATATTAATATGACACTATTTCATGAATCTCATTCATTAAATATTATAGCTACATTGGCTCCTGTATTCATAATGGGCAGCTCCACCCACTCACTGAGGTATTATTAATTAATTATTGTTGGCAGCCACGCTCATAACTTCTCCCCCTTTTAGTTTGTCAATGGTGGTACATTAAAATCCCTCATACAAGATGTCGAGAAGAATCCGTTTCCTCCCGAGCAAAGAATTCAACTCTCGCTGGACATGGCTATGGGAATGGAGTATCTCCATAACAACGGGATGCTTCACAGGTGGGCGTGGTTATAATAACTAGTTAATTACTTTATTAATAATATTATTTTTAATAGAGATTTTAACTCGCATAATTGCTTGCTGCGGAAAGAAGGTGACAGATATACAGCCGTAGTTGCCGATTTCGGTCTTGCAACTAAAAACCCAAACCTGATAAAGTAAGGGAACGATATTTATACTAAGTCATGGTTACTTCTAATTATTTATGACTCTGAAATAATTTTGCATTCGTTCTTTTAATTAGAAAACTGAGACGTAACCAGTCAATGGTTGGTACACCCTATTGGATGGCTCCTGAGGTTCTTCACGGGAAAGAATACAACGAGAAAGCTGATACTTATTCCTATGGTATAGTACTCTGTGAAATAGTGTCACGAAAGGATGCTGATCCTGATGAAATACCTAGGAGTAAGGTAAGAGAAAGGAGAGAGAGGGAGGGAGGGAGAAGGAGAGAAGGAAAGAGGAAGAAGTTTTAGTAACTATTATTATTATTATTCCTGTGTTTTCTTTTCCTCAGAACTTTAGTTTAGATGAGACAGCCTTCAGAGAATTGCCTGAAGTTATCAGCTCACCTTGTCCACCAGCTTTCATTGATCTAGCCTGCAACTGCTCTAAAGTAAGAAGATGAAATGAATTCTTCATTTTTATAATTTATCCTGATACATATACATGTACTTACACGTATGTTTTGTGGAAGTTTAAGCTGATTCCAATCAAAATTGGATTTTTTTACAAATTTTTAAAGTTGCTAAACTTAATTATTTTTTATTTCTTTTTACTCTCAGTTTGTTCCAGTGGAGAGACCAGGGTTTCCTAGTATCGTTAGACAGCTCATACAGTTACATTCCTCTCACTCGGCTTCCCTCCCACCACGCCCTTTTAAGAGGCTCAGCTGGCAGGGCCACGCCCATCAATATGAGGACCACGCCCACAATAACGAAACTATAAATTTAGCAGAATTATTAATCAAAGATACTACTACACGATAATATTTTTACATATATCATTTTTAATCCTGTGTGTCGTATTATATAATTATTATATATTGTATTATTATAAAAATCAGTCATCTTTTTTTAGCTAGTTATAACAAGTTATTAATTATTGTTGACCACGCCTACTTGCAAGTAGCCACACCCACCCGCCATTATGACTAATCTAAGTAATCTTAGAGAGAATTATGAAATTAAGTCTCGAATTTAGTTCTTCTTCATTATTTTTCAGCTTTCTGGCAGCGAGCCAAGTTAAAGGATGGATTTCCTGAGTAGATTTGGCAGGTCTTATCGCTCCCCCTCGTCATAAACCCGTGGCTCTGGGAACATCTCTCCAACTGACGATTGGAGCAATACAAGCAGCAGCAGCAGTAGTAGTAGTAGTGCAAATAGAAAGAAAGAAGGAAAGGAAGACAGGAACAAGCATAGTGAGTGGAATAATTTTTACAAGTTATTTACAAATGTTTTTGTACCTGATCTTAGAGCATGTAAATATTATAATTTTTTGAATATCGTCTATCTGGAAATTTTTAATGTTATTTTAATTTTACTGCATTAGAGTTTCACAAAAATTAGATTACCCATATAATTACGTGTCACATTCAATAATACATGACATAGTCTTATTTAGCAAAAATTAAATTTACAGCACAATTTTAAAACTCAATTTTCTGATCTATGGTATTTTAGATATAATTTCTAGTACTTTATCATATTTTATACAGGTACTAGTGGTAGCAATATGACTGACGGGGTTGATGATACTCTTCAATTAACGGAAGCAGGCGGTTTAGTACCTGACATGTCCCTGTCTCCTTCCCCCGTCCCTCCTATCTCAATTGAGCCACATTCTCTCTCCTCGTCTGTGTCTCCGCCCGATTCCCCCGGCCCTCCTACTGTAACGATAAGTGCTAGTGAGAAGCTGTGTAAGAAGCCACATCCACAATCGCTGGGCATGAAGAAATTGAGTATACCAACTAGTGCATCACTGGATTGTATTAATGAATATGAAAGAGAGAAAGAGGAAGGTGAGAGAGAGAGAGAGGGAGAGAAAGAGAGAGAGAAATGATAGATTAGGTGTGTGTAGTGTATGTGAGTGTGTGAGAGTGTTGGTATATTTACAGCCAAATCTGCTACTATGGACACTCTAAAATTAAGGACACCTCTGTAATCAGGACATGCCTAATACAATATAAATGTGTATTAATGAACCTCTGAAATAAGGACAGGTTCATAATCAGGAAGGTATTATTGGGCCCCAAGGTGTCCGAATAGACAGGCTTGACTGTATTATTAAGTGTTTACATGTCTAACATTACCTGACACTTAGAGACAGGGATTTAATGCAACAATAAGCCCAACATACACTATGCAACATTTTGTTTGCAACAAATGTTGCATAGTGTATGTTGGACTTTAGCATTTCTATGGTCCATGATGCTACATGACACGTGTATACATGTACACATAGTCTGCACAGTGCATGTACATATACATGTACATGCATTTTAGCATAGGTACATGTACATGTGCGTGTATATAGTTGTGTTTTTGCTGTAGTATAAGTTCATGTACACGTGTGCATTTTGTGTGTTTATGTTTTTATGTGTGTGTTCATTGGCCTCGCCCAGCTTTGCATAGGCGAGGACTAGGTACTCGGTTTGTCTGTCTGTGTTTCATTCACTCATTCTGTGTGCTCTCTTTTGTCTTTGAGAATGTATATCTTTGCAAATGTGTGCTCTAAATCTGTGAGAGCTTCTCTTCTGTTAGGAAAAGTCTTGCTTTACTGCCTTGAGATGTTTAGAGAGCAGCTCTAGCTAGTAGAAGCTTTTTATCTCACGAGAAAATGCCCAGCAATAGCAGTAGTACTCTGGAGGTAAATGAGACTCTTTTCCAGTAGATCAAGACTAGTTATTGTTTTAATATGTGTGGGACTCTTTAAATCTTTCTTGTTGGTGAGTTATAGCTTCTTGAATTTCAACCGAGTGAATTGCAGGTAGTCTAAAGGTCCTAAACTCTCTCAAATCACTCAATTTACATCTAGGCAACAGTATTTGTGCCATTATAATGTCATATAGCACTTATAAGAAGAGAAAAATCTGAAACTTCCTTCTTGTTGCAGGGCTTGCTGCCATCAAATAATTAATAGTTGTTGAGATGTCAGGCCACACCTCCAATTTGGGAGTAGCTGGATTAGCTTGCATGCTGCTACTTCTGCAGGTAGTCTGGTAGATCTATACAAGCTAGCTGCTATCCCTCAGGAGTACACTTGTTTTATATATATATATCCAATTTGCATGTTAAAGTTCTTTTAATTTTGATAATCAAACAGTTATAAGGGCGAGGCCACGCACCGTAGGTGTCTCGTTTTGTTTGTCTTCTTTCCTCCTCCTGTATACCTTATTTAATGAATGACACTTTTTCACTTTCTCTTTTTTTCATCCCCCCCCCCTCTCTCTTTCAGAGTATGATTCTTTCAGAGTAGATTCTGATTCTCCTAGTCATCATGTCCCAAGGCCCAGTTCTGCATTGCGTGCATTGAGAGAAGCAGTAGGGTCTGTCTCAAACATGGAGGATTTTGAACGAATTGAAAAGATAGGGTCAGGATTCTTTGCAGACGTTTACAAAGTAAGTAAAATTATTATGTTAACAACAATAACATCTTTATTTTGGAAATGTAAATTTACCATGTACAGTGTAGCCTCTTTATTAAGGACACCATTGGGCCCACACTACCTGTTCTTAATACATGTACAGTGTAGCCTCTTTATTAAGGACACCATTGGGCCCACACTACCTGTCCTTAATACATGTACAGTGTAGCCTCTTTATTAAGGACACCATTGGGCCCACACTATCTGTCCTTAATACATGTACAGTGTAGCCTCTTTATTAAGGACACCATTGGGCCCACACTACCTGTTCTTAATACATATACAGTGTAGCCTCTTTATTAAGGACACCATTGGGCCCACACTATCTGTCCTTAATACATGTACAGTGTAGCCTCTTTATTAAGGACACCATTGGGCCCACACTACCTGTCCTTAATACATGTACAGTGTAGCCTCTTTATTAAGGACACCATTGGGCCCACACTACCTGTCCTTAATACATGTACAGTGTAGCCTCTTTATTAAGGACACCTTGGGCCCACACTACCTGTCCTTAATACAGAGGTGTCCTCATTTCAGAGGTACTTTAGTATAAATTTGTACCAATTGGGACGTTACAAAATATCTTTATTATAAAAGTGTCCTTACTTTTGGGTGTCCTCATTATCGTAATAATAATAATAATAATAATAATAATAATAACAATGATATTCCTGAGATTACTAGAAGGAATTGTGCCAACTTCTTTGTTGATGTTGTTATGATAATATTTATTTTATTAAAATACTGTGTTATCATAATTCCTATGAATCATCAACCACTGATCAATGAACCTCGAAGCATCAAGATTAATTAATTAATTGACAATCGTTTCCCTTTTTATAGGTTCGGCGCAAATTGACCAATCAGATTATGGTTTTAAAAGTGAATAAAGGGCTTACAGCAACAAAGACTAGACAAGAAGTTGAGCTACTAAAGAGACTCAATCATCCTAATATACTACAGTAAGTGATCATATTACACTATTAGACATTATACTGTAATGTACACATGTATATTATTATTCAGTAAGGTGAAAATGTTATACTAATTTTTGTTTTTTTGATATATATTTGCTTGACTATTTTTAGCATTTTGAAACTAGCGATGATATTATTAATAATTAATTGCACTATTTTGTATCTTAATTTGAGGTGCTTAGTGTATTAATAAAATTCATTTTTAATACTTTGAAATTTGAGCTGTATCATTATCAAAATTTGTTTTATTTTTAAGCTGTTTTATTTATTAAAATCTAATTGGTTTACAAGGGGAGGACTTGGTCTTAAATTATTCGAATTTTATTCACGTTAGTACCTAAATATGTTAAACCTTATTAATTTTTTTATCGAGCAATAATAATATGACGCTATTTCATGAATCTCATTCATTAAATATTATAGCTACATTGGCTCCTGTATACACAATGAGCAGCTCCACCCACTCACTGAGGTATTATTAATTAATTATTGCAGACAGGTAACTCCTCCCCCTTTAGTTTGTCAATGGAGGTACATTGAAATCCCTCATACAAGACGTCGAGAAGAATCCGTTTCCTCGCGAGCAAAGAATTCAACTCTCGTTGGACATGGCTTTGGGAATGGAGTATCTCCATGAAAACGGGATGCTTCATAGGTGGGCGTGGTCTTCATAACTATTAAATTAATAATTAAGTGATATTAATATTTATTAATAGAGATTTTAATTCTAATAACTGCTTGTTGCGGAAGGAAGGTGACAGATATACAGCCGTAGTTGCCGATTTCGGTCTTGCAGCGAAAAATCCAAACCTTATGAAGTGAGAGAACGAAATTTGTACTAAGTCGTAATTACTTCTAATTATTCACAACTCTGAAATAATTTTTTCATTCGTTTTCTTAATTAGAGACCTGAGATGTAACCAGTCAGTGGTTGGTACTCCCTTCTGGATGGCTCCTGAGGTTCTTCATGGGAAGCGATACGACAAGAAAGCTGATACTTATTCCTATGGTATAGTACTCTGTGAAATAGTGTCACGCAAGGACGCTGATCCTGATGAAATACCTAGGAATGATGTAAGAGAGAGAGGCAGAGAGAGAAAGAGAAGAAGTTGTAATGACTATTATTATTATTATTCCTGTGTTTTCTTTTCCTCAGAACTTTAGCTTAAATGAAGCAGCTTTCAGGGAATTGCCTGAAGTTATTGGCTCACCTTGTCCACCAGCTTTCATTGATCTAGCCTGCAACTGCTCCAAAGTAAGAAGATGAAATGACTATAGGAAACAATTTTTTGATGCATGTACATTTACTTATGTTGCTTTAAAAATTTGAGCCAATTCTAATTAAATTTGGATTTTTTTAAAAGTTGCTCAAAAATTAGGCCAAAGTCCCTGTACTATAGTACATGGTCTCAGACTAAAATTTTGCCAAAATTGAAAAGTAGAGAATCCTTCATTTTTGTAATATTTCCTGATGCATATACATGTTTTTAAGTTTCTTAGAGGAGCTGTTTCTGAGCAAAATTGGATTTTTTTTACAAATTTTTGAAGTTTCTAAACGTGTAATTAATGGAGAAATTACAATGTATAAGTTTATTTATTTTTTTTTCTCTCAGTTTGTTCCAGATGAGAGACCAGGGTTTCCTATTATCGTAAGACAGCTCATACAATTACACTTGATTTCTGTCCCACCAAGCCCCGTTAAGAGGATCAGCTGGCAGGACCGTGCCCTTAAAAACGAAACAATTATTAAATTAATGAAAGACACTTCTACTACTACAAAATAATATTTTACATATATCCCGTGTGCCATACTATATAATTAATATAATCATAGGTCTATGATATAATTGTATTATTATAAAAATCTTTCATTTTTTTCTAGTTATTAACAAGTTACTAATTATTGTTGATCACGCCCACTTGAAAGTAGCCACACCCACCCGCCATTATGACTAATCTTAGGGAGAATTATTTAGTTCTTCTTCAATCGCTGGAAGTTGATCCGGTTCTTCCTTTTCTTTATGCCGAGGGACTCCTCACTAGGGCCGAGTATGATAGGCTGCAGAGCCCAGAGATGATGGCCCAGGATAGGAAGACGAGGGCAGACCACTTGCTCCGTTTATTGCCTAATAAAGGCAAGAATTACTTCCAGAAGTTCTGTATATGTATTGGAAAGTCGGGACAGATCGAGTTACTGGAGAAAATTGGATTCGATTTGACGTTACTCCCAGCTGGTAATTTAAAATAATCATAATTAATAATAATAATAATTGCAAATTGATTTCATTTTATGTAATTAATTATTATAAGTTATTCATTATATAATAATTGCATGTGTAATTAATGCTATTAATAATTATTATTTAGAAAAGCCATTAAGAACATTCGAAAATCAGTCGGGCCCGGCTCGCGAGAGTGACCGTTTGAAGCCTGTTCAAATTCATTTACAAGGAGCTCACTTTAACCCAGTACCCCTAATTTACCAAGAAACCACACCCACTTCTCAAGGGGAGCCCACACCCAAAACCCAGCGAATACTCATATTATATTCAAATGATCCTCAAGTCTCATCGTTACCCCCTGACGTCAGACATACTCAGGACGAATACTTGAAAAGAGTTTCTGATTTCGTACAAACACTTCAAATGTTCTCTACGGTGAGTGGAACAGATGGGCGGAGCTACTCCGCCTACAAATGCATTTACGACGTCGACGAATCTCAAAGAGAACATATACAAAATTTTAACGTGTGGTCTTTCGAAAATTTAGAAACCTGTGACGCTATTATCCTCCTAATGTCCCCTTCAATTGGGGAAGTACTGCGAGGGAGAAGTCCTGTTTTGGAGATGGAAAAGGGCGTGGCTGACTCCCACACGCTAATTAACGTTCTACCGAGAAAACGGGTCATACCAGTTTATCTTAACATGCCGAAGGTGGCAGACTGGTTGCCTGTATTTTTAAAGAGCACTCCGTCATATTTCATCGATTTATTGGGATTCCAGAGTGGAATGAGCACAGTGACCAGTGAAGAGGAATTTGGGAGACGCTCGTATTTATTATTAGACGAAGATCCGAACTTGAAGGAAATGAGGGATCTCTTAGCCGTCCTTCGTAGGGAACCTCCTCCGGAAAACCCAACTACTGTATTTGCCGTACCACCACCTAAAAGTAAGTGGAATATGAAAGAGAAAGATAACAGTTGAGAGCTTATTTTTGTATTATTGTATAGTGGAAAATTTTCGTGGATTTCATCCTTTTTTCGAAATTCATGAAAATAAAATTTGTGAAAATTGATTTAATACGGACCAAGATGGCCGAAAAATAGAAAATCACAAAAAATAAAGCATCGAATTCATTTTTGGACAGATCCACGAAATTTTTTGGCCGCGAAAATTTTCCACTGTATGGTACCACTGATTGTATTACTTTGTAATGGTTAAGAGTGAGAAATAGAAAATTATTTTATGCACGTACATATTTAATGTTGTTTCTCTCTCTTTCCTTTTCGTTAGGTTCTGATTTAAAGTCCCAAGGTATCCCGACTAAATACCTTGACTTGGTGACCAGAATGATCCCACATATCTGGGACAGAGTTGGACTCAAACTGGGTTTCACACTGATGGAAATCGAGTCGATACGGTCTCGAAATAAAGATGATCCAGAACAATCCATTCACTCGATGTTTTCAAAATGGCAGGAAAGAGATGGAGCGGAGGCGACGATCGATATTCTAATTAAAGTCCTTCAGGAACTACGTCTGAACGGGGTAGTGTATAAAGTAAAAGCAGAAGTAGAGAAAGACAAGCAAAAAGAGAAGAAATGAGTTTCTAGTTTGGTGTTTTTGTTTGTTGTTATCGTTGGCAAGAATGTAAATTTAAAACAACTATTATTATTATTATTATTATTATTATTATTATTATTATTATTATTATTATTATTATTATTATTATTATTATTATTATTATTATCACTGTATTATGTATCTTGTTTTTCAATTTCAACCTTCATGTATGGTGTTGTGTTTTTTCATTATAAACGGTGTCTAGTTATTAAGTTCATGTTAGCTCTACGGCGGTTGCTAGCGTATTAACACGATGAGTAAGATCGGCCATGACAGAAGAGAGTTTCTCTGGGTCTGTGAAAAAATAAACAAAGAGGTTTCTCTTCTCAACAAGAAGTGGAGAAGACTGGAGCATCTAAAAAGAAAAAAAAAGAGGGAAAGTTGAAAGAGATTAGGTGTCCTGTTTGCGTTGTATGGCGAATGGTTTTCACTTTTTGTTTCTCGTTATTGTCTTTCAAAATATCTTTGATCTTGGCTTCGATGGTTGCTAACATTGATTGCAACTTGTCAACAGATTCACTGTATTCCTACAACGAGAAAGAGAGAGAGAGAGGGAGAGAGAGAGAGGGGGGGGGAGAGAGGGGGAGAGGGAGAGAAAGAGAGAGAGATGATTTTGATAGTTCATATATTGTGCTACTTTTGAAATAAACTTGATCGAGCTCTTATTTCTTTCTTCTCCTTCAAACACGCAAGCTTCCAGCTGTCCCAATCTCTCCTGCCTTTAAAACAAAAACCAACAATAAATATATAATATATAATAAAAATATAATCATTTGTGCTGTCTTACATTAGCTCAATCAATTTATTCAATTCTTCTTCTCTTCTCTTGTTCCCCTCTTCTCTCTCTCTCCTTTCACTGATCAATCCGGTAAGTTTAGTCTCTATCTCATCACTCGTCATATGACCAGAAGTCATGTGATCACCGACACACAGCAACTGGGAGAGACACCCACTGGAAAGATCAACAGTTTCATCAGTTACATGTACACCTTCTTTTTGCTTTTCGTCCAGTTGCCTTAAACGATTCTAAAAATAAAATTATATAAATATTATTAATTATTATTTTAATGTACTTGTCTTTCAATGGCTTCAGTTTTCCATTTCTCCAATTGCAAGTGACACGCCTCCAGGAGTCCCCTTGCGTCTCTATGGCAACGGAGCTCCGCCTCTAATAACAGCGAGATCAGTTCTTGACGTCCACGTTGACCTTTTAATTGAGCAATGATCTACACAGAAAAAACCAGTCAGTCCGGTTTTACGAGTTTTATTAAGTACCTCGTCTTTTTTAGATAAATAGTATTCTTGTCTTTTTAATTTTAGGTCGTAGTCACCGTGAAGGACTCTGGAGGTTTTTAAAGACGCCCAGTCTCTTATTAGTGGAGGTAAGGTGCTGTCGTAAGAGAGGATTATATCTCTTAATGTGGAAACCTTCTCTTCATTCAATTGGATTCTTTCACTAGAAAATAAACTTAAATTATTGTATGCACTCCAACAAAATAAGGATGTATCTGAAAATAACCGTGGCCTTGGGTATTTTTCAGAATTTTAGCGTTTTCTTAAAATGGCCGTAACTCGAAAAATTTTTGTTGGAATCAGCTCAAACTTGTTACACAGCATAAGGACATCAATATGTATCAGAAAATGTAATAAAAATTTGGGGTGATATCGGAGCCATTTTTTGGAAAAAACCATGGGCTATAGTCTTGGGTATTTTTCAGAATTTTGACATTTTCTTAAAATGGCCGTAACTCGAAAAATATTTGTCGGAATCAGCTCAAACTTGCTACACAGCATAAGAACATCAATATGTATCAGAAAATGTAATAAAAATTTGGGGAGATATCGGAGCCATTTTTTGGAAAAAACCATGGGCTATAGCCTTGGGTATTTTTCAGAATTTTGATGTTTTCTTAAAATGGCCATAACTCGAAAAATATTTGTCGGAATCAGCTCAAACTTGCTACACAGCATAATGATATCAATATGTATCAGAAAATGTAATAAAAATTTGGGGTGATTTCGAAGCGATTTTTTGGAAAAAACCATGGGCCTTGGGTATTTTTCAAAAATTGTCATATTTTTTTAAATGGATGTAACTTCTCAAACTTACTATGCATAAGTACATTAAATTAATATATAATATAATAAAATTTTGAGGTGATTTTGAAGTACAAATTGGTGCAAAATTATTTTTAAAAGACCTCAGAGCCTCAGTCTCAAGACTGACCAAGCCCCTCCCACTCTTAATCTCCTCTATCTCTTCCCTCGTCCTCTTAGAAGCAGCTGCAAAATGACTTTTATTAACCTCCTGACGTATCAACTGGGTCTGTACAATAGGGTAACTAATGTAAAAAAGAAAGAAAGAGTTTTCATTAAAATTACTTTTCAGTCATGTGACAATCATGTGATTACATTGTTTGGAGTCGTTTGAGTTGCTCTGATTGTTTATCGTACTCCTGTTTGGTAAGATATTGGGACAACTCCTCTTCATCTTTTAAACCAAAGTCAGCCGTGTCAGAGAGATCAGTCATTTTAGACATACCCTAAAAGAAAGAAATAGAATCTCTTGCATTTAAAAAAATTGTAGTACAAGTATATATGAACAGGATATGGTATATAGCATGTGTTTAGAGCACAGCGTGAATAAGGCTCTCTTGTAGCAGTACATGTATATTAGTCTTTAGTCTCTATTGTATTTATTTTATGCATAGGAGCTACATTGTATTGGTAGTAATATATAAATAATATTAAAAAATATAAAATATATAAATAAATATAAATATAAAAAAATATAATAAATATAAAGTAGTCATTTTAATTGCGGGTACTAAATTTACAATTTTAGCACGAGTAGATTTTGCTGGTATTAAAAATTGCGATTAAGTAATTATTACTAATAGTTATATGGCATCATGATGTCATTATTAAGAATTGCACGTATTAATAATTGCGATTTTTAACCCAAACGCAAAATTCGCAATTAATAGTACCCACATTTAAAAGTAACCTTAAGGTACCCCACAAGTCATTCCCTCCCTCTCTCTCTCTCCTCATTGATATCACTGACTGGTAAAAATTGCTTTTTAGCAAAGTCAGTCAAACACTTCATGAATTCTTCTTCTGCTTTGTAATAAGGTTCGAGTGACGTGCAGGATAATAAAGAACATGAGGGACCCTCTCTCTCTCCCTCTCTCTTCCTCTCTCTTGTTTGAGGGCTGGTCTGGTTGCTATAGAGACTAATGAGTCTATTCATGGAGGCCTTGAGGTTAGTAAGTGACTGAATGAACTAGAAAAAGAAGAAAGAAGATTATGGAGGCTAGTGTGGTCTTCTTTATATTACTTTTGTGTTTGCTTCTTCTGATTTTAGTGCTGCTTCTTGGTGTTCATTTTGAAGCAATTTCAAATTGTTTCCAGCTGCTTCAAACTCTCTTAAACACTTCTCATTCTGCATGCTACAATAAAATAATAATAATAATAATAATAATAATAATAATAATAATAATAATAATAATAATAATAATAATAATAATAATAAATCATCTATTTTTACTACCTCATTAGTCTATGAATATGATTAAGTGTTTGTAATTGTTCTTTAAGTGATTGTGCTCTCTCTTCTAATTCCTTAGCCTCCAGTCTATAAATAGTAACGACTAGTCACATGATTAGCCACGCCCACTCACTCGTATTTCTCTTGGCTCTTTAACTTGGCGTCTTGACGTTTCCTAAGGACTTTCCTAAAATCCTCCCTCTACAATTAAAAATATAGCTACTGGTATATACAAATTCAAACTTTGAGCTCTTACAGAAAGTTCTTTATTAAGTCTTACTAATTCTTCAAAACTTTTAAAAATAAATATATATAAATTTAATTTTTTAATAAAATAATTATAATTACTTTTCCTTTGCTTCTCCTGTTAAAGCCTCACATGATTTCAGTTCTTGAGTTATTAATTTCATAAATGATTCTATTCTTTTATTAGCAGCTGCTCCAAGGGACGGGAGGGCTCCTTTGTATCCTAAACGAGAAAGGACCTCTTGAAAATCAGCCTCCATGTTTTTATTAGACCACACCTATCAGTTTTCAGACTTTTCACAAAATTAAAGTGACAAAACAGAATTACAAATATTGTCGTCATTATTATTATTATTATTATTATTATTATTATTATTATTATTATTATTATTATTATTATTATTATTATTATTATTATTATTAAAACTTTACAGCACTAGTACAAAAATACAATTAGGCAATAGTTAAAAAGAGTTAGAAGTGCTGAAGGACTGCAACAACTGTGTTACAGCCTTACAACTATAGGTCTAATTGGACTTATTGGATTTAAAATAAAATAACTGAGTGAAGTAGTTATAAAGTAAAATAAATAATTACAATAAAAATGATGCAATGTGACACTTGAAACAGGGACATAAATAATGATAAGAGCAAACAGAATTGGAGGTAAAATATAAGTCGAAGTGAGACCAGAAATGATTTATTAATCAAGACTTTATAGTTTGATACAATAGATTAAGTCCAGACATGTTGGAGAAATAGAATTCCAAGTTTGCACCAGAGTGTAATTATTATAACTGAGACAGATAAACGTTGATATAAAAACTCAGTAGCTCTGAAAACTCCAATTATTATATCTTATTATTATAATTATTTATACAACCATCACCGAATTTGGAGGAAAATTCGAAGTAAAATATATACCAACTACTGTTTGAGAATATTCTTGAGGATGGTTTGAACTACATGCATATGAACAGTAAGCCTGATAGTCTTCTAGTCCCGATGACTGTAGGCTGGGGAATGGTCTGGCTAGCAAGACTAGGGAGTCTTCATCAGCAGGTATTATATCTAAATAGTAAGATTCTTCATCAGGTGTTTGGGCAGGTATTAGATCTGAATAACAAGAGTCTTCATTAGGTTTTGGGGGCTGGCTCGCTAGTTTTTGGGGCCAAAAATTTTCCATTTCATTGTAATCTCTACGCAAAGCTGGTTCATGACGATGCCAACTCTGATGGCAAATGTGCCTGGGAGTAATCAAAGAAGCTTCATCTTTATCATAAATATCCCTGTGCAGAACTACCATATCTGGAATACTAAATTTAGTTTGAATGATATTAGTAATGTCTGGATCTTTACTGATTAAGAGTTCAGCAACCTGGTGATGTCTATTGTTACTAGCAAACATTAAAGCAGTCCATCCATTATTATTTTGAATTTTAATATCTGGATTTTTGCTCAAAAAGAGTTCAACAACTTGGTGATGTCCATTCTTACTAGCAAACATCAAAGCAGTCCATCCATCATTATTTTGAATGTTAATATCTGGATCTTTACTCAGTAATAGTTTAACGACCTGGCGATGTCCATTATCACTAGCAAACATCAAAGCTGTCAATCCATCATTATTTTGAATGTTAATATCTGGATCTTTACTCAGTAATAGTTTAACGACCTGGCAATGTCCATTATCACTAGCAAACATCAAAGCTGTCAATCCATCATTATTTTGAATGTTAATATCTGGATCTTTACTCAGTAAGAGTTTCAGAACCTGGTAATGACCACAGCAACTAGCAAACATCATAGCAGTCCATCCATTATTACTTTGAATGTTAATATCTGGATCTTTACTCAGTAAGAGTTTCACAACCTGGTGATGACCATAGCGACTTGCATACATCAAAGCAGTCCATCCAGTATTATTTTGAATTTTAATATCAGGATTTTTGCTCAGTAAAAGTTTAACAACCTGGTGATGTCTATTCTTACTAGCAAACATCAAAGCAGTCCATCCATCATTACTTTGAATGTTAATATCTGGATCTTTACTCAGTAATAGCTCAACAACCTGGTGATGTCCATTATCACTAGCAAACATCAAAGCCGTCAATCCATCATTATTTTGAATGTTAATATTTAGATCTTTACTCAGTAAGAGTTCCACAACCTGGCGATGACCATAGCAAATAGCAAACATCAAAGCAGTCCATCCATCATTATTTTGAATGTAAATATCTGGATCTTTACTCAGTAATAGTTTAACGACCTGGTGATGTCCATTATCACTAGCAAACATCAAAGCTGTCAATCCATCATTATTTTGAATGTTAATATCTAGATCTTTACTCTGTAAGAGTTCCACAACCTGGTGATGACCATAGCGGCTTGCATACATCAAAGCAGTCCATCCATTATTATTTTGAATTTTAATATCTGGATTTTTGCTCAGTAAGAGTTCAACAACCTGGTGATGTCCATTATCACTAGCAAACATCAAAGCCGTCAATCCATTATTATTTTGAATGTTAATATCTGGATCTTTACTCAGTAATAGTTCAACAACCTGGTGATGACCATTGCAACTAGCAAGCATCAAAGCAGTCACTCCATCATTATTTTGAATGTTAATATCTGGATCTTTACTCAGTAAGAGTTCCACAACCTGGTGATGACCATAGCGGCTTGCATACATCAAAGCAGTCCATCCATTATTATTTTGAATTTTAATATCTGGATTTTTGCTTAGCAAGAGTTCAACAACCTGGTGATGTCCATTATCACTAGCAAACATCAAAGCCGTCAATCCATTATTATTTTGAATGTTAATATCTGGATCTTTACTCAGTAATAGTTCAACAACCTGGTGATGACCATTGCAACTAGCAAGCATCAAAGCAGTCACTCCATCATTATTTTGAATGTTAATATCTGGATCTTTACTCAGTAAGAGTTCCACAACCTGGTGATGACCATAGTGGCTTGCATACATCAAAGCAGTCCATCCATTATTATTTTGAATTTTAATATCTGGATTTTTGCTTAGCAAGAGTTCAACAACCTGGTGATGTCCATTATCACTAGCAAACATCAAAGCCGTCAATCCATTATTATTTTGAATGTTAATATCTGGATCTTTATTCAGTAAGAGTTCCACAACCTGGTGATGACCATAGTGACTAGCAAATATCAAAGCAGTCCATCCATTATTATCTTGAATGTTAATATCAGGATCTTTACTCAGTAAGAGTTCCACAACCTGGTGACGACCATAGCGACTAG